GGCCCGGGGCTGAGCGGCCGCCGCGGCCCACCCGAATATTTATGTTCCCATTTTAAAGAATTTAAATAAATAAATAAAATATCTCCCCCCGGCTTCTCTGCCCTCCCCTGAAAGCCAAGAATAGGAGCCATCTGCCAGGAGCATTTGGTGCTTGCGAGCTCCGCTCTTTCTTTGTTACCGGTGATAAATTTCTGTTTGTAAGATTTCCTTGGGAATCGAGATATATATATGTATATTTTCCATCTCCCGTGAGTTTTTTTTTTCTTTCGTAGGGGAGGGTTGTGGGGGGATGTTTTGGCTCCCAAAATTCCAATTTCTTTTGCTCTTTCGCTCTTTCCTCTTCTTCTTTTTTTTTTTTTCTCTGCTCCTTTTTTAACCCATTCCTCCTCCTCTCCCCCCTCCCCAGCCCATCAGCTGGTGGAGCACAAATGAAGATGCATCTGGTATTCAGCTCTCTTTGGGGTGGGGGGGAGTGTTTTTAATTCATTGTTATTTTGGGGCCAGATTTGCATCACCATAAAACGTGCCCCCCCCACACACTCCTCCCCTTCATTAATTGCATTTTGTTTTTAACTATTCGGTTTGGAAGATGCATTTCCCTTTTTGTTAGTGACTTTAGGTGGCTTTATTTAAAAAAAAATACTATTTCTCCTTTTACATATGTATATATAATAAGAATCAGCATCCCAAACCCTCTGAATCGCCCCGTGCAATTTCTCCCACTTCTTTCCAGTCTCAGTTGTGAGGAGATGCGGGGTGTCGAAAGGGGGTGTGCGGGAAACCTGGTTTGTTGCGCACGTCTGAATTTGTTTAGAGGGGGAAACATTTCTCCTTTTGCTGCTGTTGCTGTTGGGGGGAGCGTGTGTGTGTGTGTGTGGCGGGGAGAGGTGGGGAGGAGAAGAGAAGCCAGGTAGGTTTCCTCTTCCAATTTGATCTCGTTTTCCGATCGCTTTGCTTGGGAGTCAATAAGGAGGCAGGGGAGCGTGGAGAGGTGCCGAGGAGCGGCATGTGCAGGGGGTTTAGCCGGGCAGGGATGGAGCGCGGCGCGCAGCTTCCCTCCCTCCCCGCGCACGTCTGTCCGCCTCTCCATCCCGAGGAGGCTCCGCGAGGAAATCGGGCTGCACACTGAGCAGGGGCAGCCAAAAACGGAGGTATCCCCGGGAGGAGGGCGGGAGATGCAGAGGGGGCCGCGGCCGGTGCCCAGGTTGGGGCTGGGGGCGCAGGAGGAGCAGCAGCGATGCAGGGCCCTGCTGCGGGCGGCCGGCGCGGGGGGCTGCACTGCTCAGGAAGGTGCAATTCGTGGTGATGGGGGGAGCATAAATTGGAAAAAAAAAAGCAGCCCAGGGAGGCTGTGGGGCAGTTTGAGTCTGCAAAGTAGCATTGCAAGGGAATGGGAAGCCAAAACACTTGCAACAAAATAAACCCAACCCCAAGCCAAGCCAAGCCCCCAAAGCCAGGATGAATTGATAGTGCTTTATGAAATCTTGCATTTATGGCATGTTTAGGTTTGGCTTTTTTTTTTTTTTTTTTTTCATTCATTCATTCTTTCTTTCTTTCTTTCTTTCTTTCTTTTTTTTTTAATTTTTAATCCTCTCCCTTTTTTGGCATCCATCAGGAGAGTTGCATTTCAGGATGGATTGCAGGTCTGTGCCAGGCAAGGCAAGAGATAGGGAGAGGGAGATGGGCAGAGAGAGAAAGAGAAAGGTTTTCTGACACTGCTTAGCTGCAGTTTATTAGGTTTCATGCTCTTGGTGTTCAGAGAAACGTTTAGATCCGGAGTGTAAGACAAACAAACACAAAAAGCAGAGAAACTGCCATGTAGCTGTGCTCCAGAGTTGCCGGGTCTCATTAGCACAGTGGTCTTTTAAGAACTGCAAAACTGAGTGGCCTGTTTGTCCTTGCCAGGCTCCCCCGGCAGCCCTGTAATGGATGCATGTGCAGCACAAAAAGGGGGAAGACATGGAGAGAAAAGAGCAGCTCTGGACCTTTCTTTGGGGCTGGTGGACAGAACAAACTTGGTGGCTGTGCTCACTTCAACGGGTGCACAAAGCAAAAAGCGCCATGAGGGGGGAAAGAGGAGGCTGTGCTGGAGAGCTGCTCCGTGCAAAGAAGCATTATTTTGGTTTGATTCAGACTACTGTTTTTCCAGCCTAAAATCGTTCACCTTTTTTCCCCCCCCCTTTTTTTTTTATAACTTAAGAAATCTGTTTTCAAACTAGTCCTGCATTTCACATTTGAAGAAAATGTGAAAGGCAAGAGCAAGTGAAGAACTCAGAGCAGCTCTGCAGAAGGCGGCAAGGCAAGAACATTCTCTAGAACAGCAGCAAAGATTGGGAGGGAAAGGATGGGGAAATCCTGCGATTCCAGAGAGAGCCAGGCTTCCCAGGGGAGACTCTTCTCTATCTGGTCAACAGGTTCCCCAGGAGGAGTAGTAATTTTCTTTATCACTTTATCGGTTTTTATTTACACATTAAAAATAAAAAAAGCAACAGTAACATTTTTTTTTTGCATGTCAAAGTTTTTGCAAATTACTTCAAATAACTTCACTTAAAATGCATTTAGCTGTAGTACAGTTAATGAATCTTTTCCTACGGAGAAGAAAAACTAATCAACACTTACACAAAAAGAGATGTAAGCTGTTACTAAAGAATTAGAGAGGATATTGTTTTGGAGATGACTTCTTTTTCTTTTCATAATACCTGCATAGTTGTGCACAGAAAAGCCTAACATGTTTTTAACTGACATTACATGTGTTGACTTTAAATAGGTCAGGAAAAAAAAGAAAGGGTTGTGTTCTGGAGATTTTCAGGTTGCCTTTTACTTGAATATATTTGTATTGGACTCATAGGATAAAAAAATACTGTCATATTTTTGTAGTTTCATGGTCTTTTAAAATATATATTTTGAAAAGTGATGCGGAGGATCACTGATGGTGGATCTAGATTGTGCAGTCCCTTTTGGTTGATCTGCTCGGTGTCTGGCAGCGGGTGAGGAAGCCTTTTGCCTTTTCTCACTGGTCGGCAGATGCAGAGCATATTTTGTCAGGCTTATTTAAATATTGAGAAATAAAAGTCTTTAAGATTTTACAAACCTGCCTGTGCTCGATCGGGACGGCCGGAGCCCTCGGCTTGTGCGAAATGCGTGTTTCTCTGCTGAACAAAGGCTTGTCCGGTGGCATATTTGACAATAATTAGAACGCAGAGGACGAGGAAATAGTACAAATTATTGATATCAGTTACCGACTTGAGTTGACACCTCTTCTGCTCGCTCTTCATGCAGCTGAGCTCACTGCCCGCGTAGCCTTTTGGGCTCAAAGTGCCTCACACGGCAAGATTTTAATTTATTTCTCCCGCACGCTGCCCTATCTCGATTGCTTCGCGCTCGCTATTGTTTGTTGATATAAAATACTTTCCAAAATAAACTTTGCTGGCTTTTTAGGTGCCTCGCAAGCCCTGGCTGCAAGTGGCGGCTTGTGGCGACTAGGGGGAGCTCATAGCCTGTCTCATGCAGGCGCTGGAAATACCCTAGGAAATAATAGCTATATCTGAGGCAGTTTACGCTGCTGTAAAATGTTTTCAGTGTAAAGTTGTAGTATTGATTTTCATGCGAAGATCTATATAGCGCTAGCTGAGAGAGGGGCGGCAAGTGAGACGCGTCTATTTTTAGCTAAATCACGGCTGATTAATCGACTCCGGCAGACAGGGGTTTTTAATTAAAAATTAGTTTTTAACAACGCCTTTTATTGTCGGCGTGTCAATGTTTAAGTTCTCGGTTTGCCGTTGCCGGCTGCCGATGGGGGTAGCGATACCTGCACGTCAGGCTGCTGCTGCTGTGCGTGGTGGGGAGACCATCTAGAGGCATTTGTGGGTCTCGAGCGGACAGAAAAACCCAGAGCCAGGACGCTGGACTTCTGGAAGAAAGTGTTGCAGCAACAAAGCACACGTAGGCAGGCACTATTTGCCCAGTTTACATGTCAGGAAACCTCCCGTGCTCTGTATGGGGAGCCTCATACAGGATGGTTTGCTGCACTGTGATCCCCAGGTCCTTGCAACAAAAGCCACGCCGTTCTCGGGAATGGAAATAAGTAATTTTTTTTGTTTGTTTTTTAAGAAATAAGCACAAGATCAGACCCGTCATGCCGAAGCTGCTCGCAGGCGGCTCCCCAGGGCCGTGGGTGCTGCTCTGCGTTTCAGGCCGCTTGTGCGCCGTGGATGGACTTTGGTGGG